TTAAAACCGGTTATCATCCCATGAATTGTTAAATGTTAAAATAAGGTGAATTAAATTGTTAAAAAGGTACACCCTGAATCTGTTTCTTCACTCTTTAGTCTTTATTTTTTATTTCTTTATGTATTATAGAAGCATCGGTTCCAGTATTGGTAGATATTTAAAATCAAATGATTCGGACTCGAAAGGAAAAAAAAAACTTGATCAGGACATGCCTAGTATTTTTATTTATTTATTTATTTTTTTTTTTTTGACTGTGGCTATATACTCAAGCATCTCTTTTTGGCCTTCTAAACCAAAACAAAGACATGATGGCATGTAATTTAAGAATTCATTTAAATGTCTTCTGTTTTTTTTGAATGTGTATTTTTTATATTTTAGTGTAACTGAAGCAGCAGAAGATAATATTTGGCATATTGTGACTTCATGCGAGTGAAATGGATTATCGAGAAACACAAAACTAGATTCTGTCTATACATTAAAAAAAAAAGAATAATAAAAGGAATTGGAGAAGTTTTGCATATGTCACTAGTAAGAAGTTTGTTTTACCAGTCCATCAAGTTGAACACATCATCAAATTGTATTAAAATGTATCAAAATGTATTAGCCTAATTGTTAAAAGTACAATCTTTAAGATACTTTAGAACAGTGTTTCTCAACCACATTACTGGAGGACCACCATCTCTGCAAACTTTCCATGTCTTTTTAACCAAACAAATCTGATTCGGATCATCAGCTCATTAGCAGAGACTGAAATTATTGTATTGGGTCAGACCAACAAAGGAGACTTCCAAAACATGCAGTGTTGGTGATCCTCCAATAACGTGGTTGAGAAACACTGCTTTAGAATTTTGATTGAATTTCCATTTCACGCTGACTAAAAGATTTTATTGGTCAGGGCTTGATGATATTACAGGTATTTCAGATGAACAGGACTGAGAAAAGCTGAGAAGAACCAGGCACTAGACAAGCAAATTATTTCCTACAATTTTTCCGCTAGCTGAAAGCTAAATGAGGTGACTGACCAGCCTGAAATGTCAAAGACTGTAATTATGAATAAATGTAATCACAGATGCTTGTTACTAATTATAATAGTGAATCTCAGCATTTCCCCTGTGTATTTAGTCATCAGCAGTGCAAAGGAGGTGTTAAAGGAGGGAAAGTTTAAAGCAGTTGTGGGCTAGTGGAAATTACACTCTAGTCATTTATAAAGAAAATCGTGCAATTCTTTTAAAATGTGCCAGACATTCAGAAGGAAAAGGCTCCTGCATGATTCGTTTTCACATCCTGTTTTGGTTATAATTCTTTGTGTAGTAAGATCAAGCATCCAGTCTTGCATATAGTTGCGTGTAGGTGTAAAAGGCTGTGTGTCACATGCACTACTTTATCTTCCCTCATGGGGCAAGAACTTTGTAGCTGAAGGACAGTTCTGGCATGAAGCTTTTACTCAGAAGGGAAATTCCAGAGCTCAAGTTATTTTTGGTTTACAACATGTGTCTGATCAATGCTGGACCACTGCTTGCCTTTCAGATAAAGCCTAACACGCACTACGAGAAGAAAGCTTAAGTCTTTCTTTTTTTTTTCTGTCGGCAACACAAGGATAATCACAGATGGTTCTCTTAGAAGCACAGCAGAAGCTGCAGATGCTACAATTCATTTCAAGCTTGAGCCTAAAGAAAGCAACAGTAAGCAATTGTAGCTAGTTGGAAGCAAAATGACCTTGTGGCTTTGATTTTTGTATATTATGTTCTGTTACATTACAAAACAAAAGCAGAACCCCCATTTTAACCTGGTGTTAAAATATGCTGTAATCACAGATGTTCAGGACTAAATCAGGGTTTATGTAGGTTTCACCAAATTTTAAGACCATTATGACTGAAATTCTAGACTCATAAAGGGCTAAACACCAAGTCATTTTTCAAATGGCCCAAATGAAAAAGATTTGTATTTGCCCTATAAAAAAACAATCATAATTTAATATTAAAAAAATATTTTTGATATTTCTTAGCAAAATATTTTAAATATTGTGTAAAAACAAGCAAGATAAGTTTTTCAGCATAAACTTTAACGTTAAACTTCTTTAAAATATGATAAAAATTAACAAATGTTTTAAAAACTAGGATAAAATTAATCTACGCACAACAATCTCTCCAGGTCGGTTTCCTCAGCAGTAAATACATGGAGCACTTTTACACAAATGTGATTGTAAGGAAAATATATGTGGAAAATGCTCAAATGCTCAAAATGTGGAGAAAAATTAAGACCTGTTTAAAAAAGATGTAAGATCTACAACACAATATTTAAGACTTATATAATAATATAATATAATATAATAGTACATTTGTTTAGTAAATATTTAAGTTTAAGACTTTTTAATAAATTGCAAATATTAAAATAGTTATAATATAATAGTAAATATTATTTTAGTAAATATTTAAGTGTAAGACTTTTTAATGAATAATAAATATCAAAATAGTAATAATACAATATAATAGTAAATATTATTTTAGTTAATATTTAAGTTTAAGACTTTTAATGAATAATAAATATTAAAATAGTAATAATATAATAGTAAATATTATTTTAGTAAATATTTAAGTGTAAGACTTTTTAATGAATAATAAATATTAAAATAGTAATAATACAATATAATAGTAAATATTATTTTAGTAAATATTTAAGTGTAAGACTTTTTAATGAATAATAAATATTAAAATAGTAATAATACAATATAATAGTAAATATTATTTTAGTAAATATTTAAGTGTAAGACTTTTTAATGAATAATAAATATTAAAATAGTAATAATATAATAGTAAATATTATTTTAGTAAATATTTAAGTGTAAGACTTTTTAATGAATAATAAATATTAAAATAGTAATAATACAATATAATAGTAAATATTATTTTAGTAAATATTTAAGTTTAAGACTTTTTAATGAATAATAAATATTAAAATAGTAATAATACAATATAATAGTAAATAGTATTTTAGTTAAAATTTAAGTTTAAGACTTTTTAATGAATAATAAATATTAAAATAGTAATAATACAATATAATAGTAAATATTATTTTAGTTAATATTTAAGTTTAAGACTTTTTAATGAATAGTAAATATTAAAATAGTAATAATATAATAGTAAATATTATTTTAGTAAATATTTAAGTTTAAGACTTTTTAATAAATAGTAAATATTAATTAATGACTTTTTAAGGACTAAAATTTAGATTTTAACATTTAAGACATTTTAATGGACACCCTGTAAATACATGTGTAAGCAGGGGCCTGAATATGAATATGTAATCATATCATTGAAACCACATATGTAGGTATTCAAATATGCATGAATAGTGTAAACATTCATCACTTATCTTTATTAAATCTGTATCTAAGTGATCACAACACTTGTTTGAAATGGAAGTGCATCTTTGTGGGCCATTTGTCAAATATGGATAGCAGATAATACATCCTAATACAAGGTGGAAACATTAAATGAGTGTCCACTGGCTGACCAGCTTAGATTTTGTAGCGTGTACAGATTGACACAATAACATTCTGTTAGCCATATGATTCATTCATTCGTTTTCTTTTCGGCTTAGTCCCTTTATTAATCAGGGGTCGCCAAAGCGGAATGAACCGCCAACTTAATCAGCATATGTTTTACACAGCGGATGCCCTTCCAGCTGCAACCCATCACTGGGAAACACCTATACACTCTCATTCACACACATACACTATAGACAATTTAGCCTACCCAATTCATCTATAGAGCGTGTCTTTGGACTGTGGGGGAAACCGGAGCACCCGGAGGAAACCAATGGTAACACAAGGAGAATATGCAAACTCCACATAGCCAACTAACCCAGCTGAAGCTCAAGCCAGCGACCTTCTTGCTGTGAGGCAACAGCGCTTCCCACTGCGCCACCGCGCTACCCTAGCCATATCATTGAAACGTATACTAAAATAGCTTTTGACAGATATTAGCCCCTTTCACACATACAGACCTTTCCGGAAAATTGCCGGCAATTTTCCGGAAAGGTTGTATGTGTGAACAGGTCCTTTTTGAAAATACCGGTAAATTCGTTCTGGCTATTTTCCGGAAAGAGAAGTTGTAACATTACCGGCAATTTGCCGGAATGCTGCGCTGTGTGAACGCAGAAGGAAGATTCCCGTAATAAGCGCGTGCATGTCTAGAACGTGCTGACGTGAGACGTCTGCTTTAGCCAATCACCACACTCAGACGCATTTACGTCCGCGCGGTTTGTGACGATAAAAGCCTTTAAAGATTTTTCCAGACACATTTAGCTGCTAGAAGTCAGTCAGATAACGTTTATATGTTCTTCTTAATGCCAACTGTGTAAATAATCAACGATGAGATGCTTATGATAAGCCGTTGTTTGTTTACCTTCAAGCTTTGCGTGCGCCTATGAGCGCCTGCACACGCACATATTATGAACATCTCGACATGCGAAAGTGATCCTGCGAAAATTGTTCACAATATTGATCATCCACAGAGTCTGTAATTTAGTCAAATGTTTACAAATACAAGCGCAGCCGTTTAAAGCTCATTTGTGGTGAATGATGTCAGAGTTTACCGGTATTTTGGAATGGATGTGTAAATGCTCTTTTCCGGAAAATTTCCGTAACGTCCTCGCCTGTGTGAACAGCGCTTTTTTGAATATACTGGTAAAGTCGTTCCGGAAATTTTCTGGATATTTACCGGTATCACTGTGTGAAAGGGGCTATTGTCTCCTGCAGAAATGCAGAAACAATGACTATTATTAAATGAACAGTCCTACTATTTCCATTGTTTGGAAACCTGGGTAGTCCTGGCCAAATTGGTTTGTGTTGTTGTGCCCATCCCACTTAATCAAGTTGATTAGTGCAGTTAGTAAGAGGTCCAGAACTGTCAACAACTTTAAGTGTATACTTGATTTGTTTTTAGTCCATGTTTAACATTTGACCTGTCAGTAATTGTCTCTTTTGTATTTGTTTCCAGGTGACACAGAGGAGCTTCCTGGGCCGCTGAGACGTGACTTCGGGCTGGGCGTCTCATTTCCTGTGCCTGGCCCAGACAAGCTCAAAAAAAAGCTGCCCTCTGAATGACTACTTGCCGTCTGTTTGCGGGGTTTTGCCAAGCTGTCACCATGAGCAAATACTCCCAGTACTTCAACAAGACCCTCATCCAGGTCCACTATCTCACTGCTAAGGAGATGACCGCAGAGGAACTAAGAGACCGCATCGAGAGCAAACAAAGCTTGAGCTCCCTGAACATTTTATTTGTCGTAATCTGCAGCATCATCATCTTGGAAAACCTCCTAGTGCTCATCGCTGTGTTTAGGAATAAAAAGTTCCACTCAGCCATGTTCTTCTTCATTGGGAACCTGGCCTTCTCGGACCTACTAGCTGGCTCTGCATACATTGCCAACATCTTCCTGTCTGGCCCTAGGACATTTCATTTGACTCCTGTCCAGTGGTTCATACGAGAGGGGACTGCTTTCATTGCTTTGTCCGCCTCCGTTTTCAGCCTGCTGGCTATTGCTATCGAGCGCTACATCGCCATCACCAAGGTCAAGGTTTACGGATCCAACAAAACGTGCCGCATGTTTCTTCTGATCGGAGCATGCTGGGTGATGTCCATTCTTCTAGGAGGTCTTCCTATTATAGGTTGGAACTGTATTAATAACCTGGATGATTGCTCAGCTGTTTTGCCCCTCAACACCCGATACTACATCCGGTTTGTTGTCACCATCTTTAGCATCATCTTGCTGTCCATCGTGATCCTTTACGTTCGCATCTATCTCATTGTGCGCACCAGCCACCAAGAGGCCACCAATTCTCCAGCGTATGCTCTCCTGAAGACGGTCACAATTGTCCTTGGCGTCTTCATCATCTGTTGGCTGCCTGCCTTCACCATCCTCCTCCTGGACACTTCCTGCAAGATGAAGCAATGCCCTATCCTCAATAACGCTGGCATCTTCTTCAGCTTTGCCACACTGAATTCGGCACTGAACCCGTTGATCTACACCTTGCGGAGTAAGGACATGAGGAAGGAGTTCTTGAGGGTCCTGTGTTGCTGGGGGCTGCTCAATTGCGGCAGACCTCCTCACCGCTGCATGGTACCACTCAAAAGCTCGAGTTCAATGGAGCACTGCACCAACAAACATGAACATCAGTCCATTCCCATCATGCAGGACTGCACTACCTGTGTTTGACTTCGTCTACACAGTGCCCAAGTGTTTGCAGATCCCCCTCTCTTGGAGGCAAGGCACATTCGACAGAAGTGTTCAGAGATCTTGTGGGCCAAACAAGAATCACAACTAATGACTCTTACATTTAGAGCAGATGCCACAGCCGTGTTACCAGACTCCCACTTGTCCTTAGTCGCTTCTATCGTTGCAAAGTTTCCTGATCATCACAGCAGACTTGTCCTGCAAGTGAACCCATCAACAAAGCAAGTGAAAGAAAGCCAAATTGAAATGGGAATATGCATTTTAGCTCTTTGACCAAACATGAACAATCAAAGTTGAAGATATTGCACTTTGTAGACTTGTAGGCGGTTTGGCATTCTGTACTTCTCAAGTGCCGACCAACCTACTAGAAGTCCCAAACAAGATGTATCCTATCCACTGTCATGGTTCTGAAATATAAATGGACAGACTGAAATGTAAAGATCGACAATGCACTCCCAAGTGAGCCAAACCACCATGTACGTTTGCAGAAGCTCTCCTAATGTATTTATCGAATTACTTGATATACGTAACACCCTTTGATTACCAACAGTAAAAGTATTCCACTTCATTGTATTGCATGAAATTCTAACCTGTGTAAAGACTTATATGTATGCCAAGCCTATCTACAGTTGTCAATGTTACTCCTCTATTTCCATCTTGTCCATGTAAAGTCACAGTCCCTTCCTATTTTATTCTTTCTGTTAACATTCCTGTTTCTTCTTAAGAGGAGAACCCAGTCAGTACGTAATTACTGAAATCCTAAAATGAATTTGTCCCAGCAGCTGATGTAAATTAGTGATGGGTCGTTCATGAACGATTCGTTCATTTTGAATGAATCTTCAATATGACTCGGGAACTACGAGTGCTCTCTGGAAGAGATTCGTTCATCCGCACATTTGTGCAGGTAGTATCGTTAATTTCAAGTCTTCATCACATTGGCAGAAGCCAATCAGAACCGGAGAGAGCCGGAAAAAGAATTGATCCGCTCACCACTCAAGTCCTCTATCGGGTCTAAGTCACTACTCGTTCATTACGGGCCAATCATATGCGTTTAGAGCCGGAAAAAGAATTGATCCGCTTACCTCTCGAGTCCTCTATCGGGTCTGAGTCTCTCGTTCCTCACGGGCCAATCATACACGTTTAGAGCCGGAAAAAGAATTGAACCGCTCATCTCTCGACTCCTCGGGTTTGAGTCATTCTGTCACGTAAACAACAAATGATCATGGCTCCTATCGGCTCAGACTGTGCATTGATTAAGATTATATGTGACTGTCAGTGTAACGTGAATGAACCCCTGACATTTAAAGATATGAAGAGGTGAGCTGAGCAAAGAGACAACAATGCCTTCATAGACAAAAGAGCAGGTAAACATTCAATTATTATTTTCTCCTTCTTATAGTATTCTAGTTATGACATATTTGTCGTGCGATCAACCTTTTGGGTTAGTTGTAGATTTGTTTGGAAGCAATTCGTAACATTTTAATAATATTTTGGCAAATTAAACCAAATGAACGAAATGACTCAAAAAAAGATTCGTTCATTTTCATGAACGAGACTCAAAGATCCGAGTCAGTAAAATGATCCGAACTTCCCATCACTAATGTAAATGCTGGATCTTTTGGCATGACAATGTTGTAGCATTGCTGCGGCAGCGTGTGCTTTTTTTTGTGCCCTCCTGACGAATGAAACTGAATATAAGAATGAAGTGTTAAGAGCGAACATTTTCGCTGATCGACAGTATTACCGAACATCATTGTTCTCCTGTTGATTATTGAGCTTGCAGCAACAAGAGGCAACCTAATGTCTTTTAAAGTTAAAAGTACATAACATGCCATTGATAAAACGAGAAACTCTGAGATTAAGACAAACTGAGCATGCCTTTTTCTCGCATATTCATTCTAAAATCAGAAGGTTGCGCTCTTTTAACGGTTCACAAGTCTTCCGAAGAAACTATAAACTTCCTGCAACTGCAGGAAGTCCGGTGTTTCCTATGCTTTTTCCAGTTGTTATGGACTGACCTTAATCTTCTCATACGTTAATATCATCAGCCCAACACTTTCACTCACAATCATACCAGTTCACCATTTGATCCCAACATGTTTTAGTTTCCTCTGTTGATCAGTTCAGCAGAGAAAGCACTTTGGCAGCTCTTCCAATACCGGCCTATTGTTTTTTTTTCCCTTCTTTCTTTTTATGCATGAAGAGTTTAGGACTGTGTGAGCATCCCTATCACTCCGTTCAACGTAAAACATAGCCAGCCCTGTGGAACAAAGTTTTTTTATTATTATAAATGTATGTATGTATGTATGTATCTATGTACAGTATGTATGTAATGTGTATACATATAGAATGTCTTGTGTGCAATAGCCTTGTGTTTAGTAGCAAGCTCCCTGTGCTAAATCGGTACAATCCCAAACACTAATGTAGGTACATAAACATTAGTTAATTTCTTGTTTTTTTTTTTATATAAAAATAAATTAAATACGTCAAATGTTGCTTGTTTGTGTTCATTTAAAATGTCATTGCTAATTCACTGGAATCCAGATAACAATCGTGTGCATTTAGCATAACCTTTAAAAGCGGCTGTTGTGTGCGTGACAGGGATAATTATTGCCACTACGCATTTTATTTCGCTGTATTGTGTTAAACTGAACGCTGGAGACTTTATCCCACATATTGCAGAAATCTAAACAGACAATGAAAAAAATGCTAACATGCACCAACACGGTTAAGGCCAGACTCGCTTTGACATGAATCTGTTTGCAAACAATATTGCCTGGATCTGCTGGCCTTGATTTCTGACAGACCAATAAGTGCCAGTTCCAAGGTTTTCTGGGAAGGCAGATGTTTAGCCGAAGGGTTTAGTAGAAGAGGGGGGGGGGGGGTGATGAGATCAATAGGAATGGCATTATGGGAAAGGGGTGCCTGGGAGGCCAGTGGCTGGAACAGCATGACCATAAGCTGGAGGTGCTCATTGCTCAAAAAGTCTGTGAACCTTGAAGGAGTGGGCTCAAAGACGGTCTGGCCTGGTGTTTGTCAAGCATCCAGATTTTCTGGGTGGGAACAGCAACCCGCCCTGGGAGACAACACAGCTGGGAATATGGCCAGAAGTTAGCAGGAAGTGACATCAGCCATGCTCAAACAGCTGCAAACATATATCGCCGTTTTCAGTACAATCTGGGTGATTAAGATCCATTCTCTACTCCCACTCCACCCCGGCATATGTGAGAACAAGTTTATTTTGGAGAAGACGCTCACCCAAAGCTGCAAATTACCTGCGTTACAATACCACCACCTAGTGGTCAGCCAGAGAAGGCTGATACACTTTTGGTTTGACTCAAAATAAGCATGAATAGCTGCTTTATGTAAGCTTATACACTCACCGGCCAATTTATTAGGTACACCTGTTTAACTTTCACACACAACCATCTTTAAGGTTTACAGTAGAATATGGCAATATTTTCTTGGCACACTTTGGGTCCATTAGTACCAGTTGAGCTTTGTTTCGACTCCACAGCATACCTAAGTAATGTTGCTGATCATGTCCATCCATTTATGACCACAGTGTAACAGAATAACAAGCCATGTTGTAAAGCGTGAATCATCTCAGACTGGTTTCTTGAACATGACGATGAGTTCACAGTACTCAAATTGCCTCTTCGGTAATCAGATCTGAATCCAATAGGACATCTTTGTTATGTGGTGGAACAGGACACTCGCATCATGGATAATCAAGGAAAAATCTGCAGCAACTGCATGATGCTGTCATGTCAATGTGGACCAAAATCTCAGAGGAATATTTCTAGTACCTTGTTGAATCTATGCCACAAAGGATTAAGGCAGTTTTGAAGGCCAAAAGGGGTTCCACCTGGTACTAATGTGTGCCTAATAAAGTGGCCAGTAGACGTAGAGCACAAAACTAGCGTTACATTGCATGGGTACATTTGTAGAAATAGCCAATACTACATTGTATGACTCATTGTATGAATAATAGATATTTTGTCAAAATTCTCAAAAATAAAAAAAGATCCATAAAGACATTTTGTACGTTCCCTAATGAAAATATACCCAAAGCTTAATTTGGACATCTTTAAAGGTAATTTTCTCAATATTTATTTTATATTTTACTTTATTTCCAGATGTTCGAATATCTCAGCCAAATATTGTGCTATCCTTACAAACCACACATCAATAGAACGCATATTAATTCAGCAACTTTAGCCATGCAGCAAATAATCTGCATGATTGCTATCCATTCTCTACTCCAGGGGGTTTCAAACTTTGTCCTGGAGCTTCAGTGTCCTGCAGATTTTAGCTCCAACTTGCCTCAACACACCTGCAAGGATGTTTCTAGAACAGGGGTGTCCAAACTCGGTCATGAAGGGCCAGTGTCCTGAGTGGGGTCTGGATGCAGACCTGGTGTCCAATCAATGCTTTTTAACAGGCTCACCTAACCCTACCCATCACAGTGACGTCACTCGCTCCATTTAAGTGCATTGTGTCTGACATTGCATCGCTGGGTGATGCAATCTCAGCTTGCATCATAAAGGCTGCATCCAGATACTATTTGGTGTCCTGCATAGCTTAGGTCCAAGTTTATTCAACACAAGCTGCTTGTAAGTTTCTAGTGTACCTAGAAAGAGCTTTGATTAGCTGGTTCAGGCATGTCTAATTGGGGTAAGAACTAAACTTTATTTTGGAAAAGACCCCCAAGACTGACGCTCACACGAAGCAGTATATACTTGCTGTACAAGAGCACCATCTTCTGGTCAGCCAAAGAAATGCTTTTGTACTTAACTAATAATATTCCAAATACAGTTTTTCCCAGTGGCTTTGGTGCACTTCTCACAACAGTATTTATATTTGCACAACAGTTAACGCATTTATTAAAAAATTATTACAAACTGCAAAACATAGTTAATAACCAGTAAATTCCTGTCACCAGCTCATTGCTCAAAAGCAAGTATTCATGTCAAAGAAAGTGTCAGTGTCATCAAGATAAAAAGTCCAGACACCATTGTTTATGAACAAGATAGTCAAATGACTTTGTCATGTTTTCATAATGACATATGATGACATTATGACATCATTAGTTTAGTCTGTACATATTTTCCAGTGCAAAAAGTCAGATTTTTTGAAAATGCTCAAGACAGCAGTATATACTATTTGCACATTTGTTATTACTATTTTACCCATTTGAAAACTACAGTAAGTCACTAGTCATCACTGCATTTAGTGAGGTATCTGAGTACAAGACACTGAATATGTATGTTTCACATTTTTACTGCATTTGCCCTTTGCCATTCTAATTTATTGACAGCATTGTGCAAAAGAATAAATACATGCTTTTTTTACAACAAACAAATTTCCTTTGGGTAGAGCTGTGCACAACTGTAAACAATATTACAGTACATATTGGAACTAAAACAAACAACATACACAGGTCTGGAAATCATTAATTAAATTGTTCAATTCAGAAGACACTTTAAGGAAAAAAAAAAGAGTTATACATTTTTTTTAATTAGCTTGACAGATTTTGACAAGTTCAACATTTTCATATGAATCAGATAATGAAATGAGGACTATTCTTTTTATATGGTCTGACTATTCAGCATTTACAAGTTTAGTTAATTTTGACAGACGTGACATACGCAAATGCTAATGTTATAAAACAGCAGAGAGTTGTATGGAAGCAATTTATGCATGTCCAAAAGCATTTGCAATTTGTTGGAAGGAATGATAAACTGCTACTATGATGTGCACAAATGACT